GAGCTATGAATCCCGGGGGGACAGGAGGACTGGGGAGTCTGACGCCAAAGCAGGGCTCCTTATGCTAGCGGTCCACAAATAGGGTGACCAAGTGTTAAGCTGACCTGGGACTTTCCTAGTTTTAGCATTGAAAGTTTCCTAGAATTGTGCTCCCTTCGGCAGCACATCTACTTAAATTGGAAGGATACAGAAAGGTTAGGATGGCCCCTGCGCAAGGATGACATACAAATTCATGAAGCTTCCCATATTGGAGGGGGAGGGGGAGGAGGAGGAGGAAGGGGAGGGAGAGGAGGGGGAGGAGGAGGGGGAAAAAGAGGGGGAGGGGGAGAAGGAGTGGGGAAAGGAGGAGAAGGAGAAAGCTTCCCAGAACTGGATCCCTAGCAGTCCTGGGCAAACAAGGAAAGTTGGTCACTCTGAGCTCTAGAACCACCCAGGAAGCTGTTAAAAAGTTGTGCTGCCCTCGACCTCCCTCCACCCCGCCCCATCCCCAGAGCAATTATATCAGACTTCCTGTGGGTAAAAGGACCAACACTGTGTTTGTAAAAGGCTCTCCAGGAGATTCCAGTGTGTGTCCTGGGTTGAGTGTTGTGGAACCGTACCAAACAGGAGCTGGGAGCTCCAAGACTCTCGGGCCTCCTGAACAACGTTTCTCAGACTTTCAGCTCCAGCCTCACAGGCTGCCCTAAGGCAGGGTCTCAGTCCTGGCTGTCCACCAGGATCACCTGGGAGGCCTTTAACAGCTACCCATTCAGGAATGTAAAATGGTACAGCCACTTTGGAAAAGAGTTTGGCAGTTTCTCCAAAAATTGCACTTACCGTATGATACAGACAATTCCACGGCCCTCGCTATTTACCTAAGAGAAATGAAATCACATGTCCACCCAGAGATCTATACCCCAGTGTTCACAGCAGTTCTATTTGCAATAGCTCCAACCTGATAATAACCCAAATGTCTTTCCACGGGTGAATGGATAAACAAATTGGGGTACATCCATCCTCGGAATCTTTCTCAGCATTTCATTACCTAGCAAGGAATGAAATATTGATGATGGTGATTAATTAAGCCCAAAACGGTCTGAGATGGCATCAGCAGAGAATAGCTGACTCCACTAGGTGGCATCTGGACACTTCTCTTTAGCATGACTTCCGCAGGAATTGTAGATCCCAGGCCTTGGCTGCCAGAGGTGTGTTGTGAGAGGGAGCATGGTGCCCATAAAGGTAGTCAGGCTTGTTGGCACAGAAAACAATCAGTGAGACCGGAAGACGTCAGCGCGGTCCCATGAGCTCCCAGCCTGACGCCATAGGCAACTGGGAATCAGATCGCTGCATTTCAATGTCAAGGTGCTGGTATCATCTGAGGTTCAAAGAGCAGAGCTAGTTATTCAGGGACTGAGTAACCTGTGGAAAGTAAATGAAGTTCCTAAGGAGAAGACCAAATGTCTGGAGCTTAGAGCAATAAGCAGAAATCACGGTCTCCAGTGGACCACCACACAATCTTCTCTCCCTCCATTAAGGAACGTTAATGGAGGCCCCTCCCCGCAACGGGGCCTTTGGCCAGTCAGTCAAAAGATACCATGACCAGCCCCCTCTGTCTTCTGCTTTCCATAACCCTTATCCCCTCCCACAGGAGACCCTCTCTGTTTTAGTCCCCAGCCATTGTCTGGCCTCTGTTGTTCTGAGCCAGAGTCACTCTCTTAAGTGACCACACATCTTTTGGTCAACCCTGAAGGGTCAAGCACTTAGGTGGTCATTATTTTGGGGGGGGGTGCATAAATTGGGCTTTGCCATTTGTGCCTCACTGTCACCTCCAACAAGGAACATAAAGCAAGTCCCCAAAGGAAGGATCAAAACGTACTGAAGAATAAGAGAGACCACATCAGTAGTTTCTTTTTTTTTTTTTTTTAACGTTTATTTATTTTTTTTTGGGACAGAGAGAGACAGAGCATGAACGGGGGAGGGGCAGAGAGAGAGGGAGACACAGAATCAGAAACAGGCTCCAGGCTCTGAGCCATCAGCCCAGAGCCCAACGCGGGGCTCGAACTCACGGACCGTGAGATCGTGACCTGGCTGAAGTCGGACGCTTAACCGACTGCGCCACCCAGGCGCCCCACATCAGTAGTTTCAAATTCTCCCCAGAATCCATCAAGAACCAGGGGTCCCAGGCAGCCCTCGGGTCCACAGGCTCCAGAGTAATGCATCTGCTCTGTCAGCTTAGTTCTGTAAGGGCTCCCCAGGCTCCAGTGCATTCCGCCACCGGGATCACTCAGGCTGCCAGCCATGTCTCTGTGAGAAAAATACAACTAAGGGAGCTTAGATAATGGAGCCCTGTCATGTGTGTGAATCCCAATGTGGTGCTCGCCTGAATCTGTTCTACATGTGGGGATTCCACGCACGATGTCTTCAAAGGATTCTGCTGCTAAAGAGTTAGAAAAGCACTCGCCTACATCATCCTGAAATATTCTCCTTCTTAGAGACCAAAGCTGTGTTGCAGATTAGGGCACACAGTTTTCAAGCCATTTCAGAGAAATGACTCCTCCTCCTTCTTGGAACTCCTCCTCCAGACCTTGAAGACAAAGAGCATTGTCCTTCCACTTTGCTCAAGGTTGTGCCAATCTCCCAACCACTGGCTATAAAGTCTCTTTCCCTAGTCCTCCCAGATGCTCAGGGCACAGAATTCTCAAGGTAGGCCCGACCTCGGAAGATTCAATCTCCCACATCCCCAGCACCTTGGCTACCTTCTGTTTCAGACTTGGTTCAGTCTCCTGGCATTGACTTTCTGGTTCCTTGTTCTACTCTCTGTTTTTCAACTGCTTAAAAATTATTGTTATTAAATGCTGATTTAAAATTTTTTGATGTTTATTATTTTTGAGAGAGAGAGGCAGAATGAAAGCAGGGGAGGGGCAGAGAAGGAGGGAGACAGAATCCAAAGCAGGTTCCAGGCTCTGAGCTGTCAGCACAGAGACTGATGCAGGGCTCAAACCCACAAACCATGAGATCATGACCTGAGCTGAAGTCAGACGCTTAACCGACTGAGCCACCCAGGAGCCCCTAAATGCTGAGTAGATTTTATAACCTATAAAATACATATTAAGTATAAAGAAGCTTAGTCCATTCAGGCAAAGAAAAATCACTTTACCATTACCCCTGAAATCCCCAGGATATTCCTCCAAAAACCCATTCCCTTTCCTCTCCCCTCCAAGTCAAACACTATGCTGAATTTTGTGTACAATTCCCTTGCATTTCTTAATAGATTTCCTACATATGTTATAACCTGTAAACAATGTATTGTTTAGTTCTGTATGCTTTTTTAACTTTATATAAATTGATTTTTATACTACATATTCTGAGACAGTAGACAATAAGACACTTTTGAGATCCACCCATATGTTTGCAAGTAGCTACAATGCATTGTTGCAATGCTTTATAGCATTCCATTGTGTAATATACCACAGCTTTTTTAAATCCCATTGTATTCTCTTTTTTTAATGTTTATTTATTTTGTAGAAAGAGAAAGAGAGAGATCATGAGCGAGGAAGGTGCAGAGAAGGGGATAGAGGATCTGAAGCAGGCTCTGCTCTGACAGCAGAGAGCCTAATGCAGGTCTTGAACTTCTCGAACCATGGGATCATGACCTGAGCAGAAGTTACCTCCTCAACCAACTGAGCCAGCCAGGCGACAAAATCAGTTGTATTGTTGGTGAACTTTGGGGCTGCTCTCAGTGCTTGCTATTATGAACAGTGCTATGAACATTCTTGTACATATATCCTGATATACCTGGACAAGAGTTGCTCTTGGAGTGGAATTTCTAGGTCATAGTGCAGAAACATGTCTCTATTACCAAGGTAATTGCAAATCATTTTTCCAACATGGATGTTCCAATTTACGCTCCCATCATCACTGTTTTGTGGTACTGTATCCTTGCCAGCCCTCGATATGGTCCAACTTCCTAATTTTTACTAGTCTGGTAAATGTAAATGGCATTTTCTTGTAGTTTGAATTTGTTTACAGGATTGCTGAAGAGGCTAAGAGCATTTTCATACGTTTATTGGCCATTTGTCTTTTCTCTCCTTGAAGTACCTGCAATGGGCTCTCTGTTGAAGGGTAAGGGCACAGGCTTCAGAGCCCGGCCCTCAAGGACCAATGTCCCAGCCTAGAGTTCAGTTTCGAAGGTACAGTGATGATTGAGTTGAGGACCTCCTAGGTACCTGCATCCCATCTTACTCAGTGACCCTCCCTCAAAACTAGTCAGATGGTCTCAGATAAGACCAACTCCACGCAGCCTAGTTAAGCAGCAAAGATGTTGGAGCTCAGGATCCCAGCATGTGTCCTGACCGACGATCCAGTGGAGAAAATGGACTACCTTCCTGCCCCATTGCCAACGCTGTGCTACAAGCTGCTCACACCAAAGATGGTACTTAGAACTCTCCACGGGTGGGGGGCGGGTGCGCTTCGTGGGGTTCAGTGGGTTAAGCCTCAGACTGTCAGACTTGGGCTCATCGAGATCTCCCTGTTTGTGAGTTCTGGCTGCTGGAGGAGCTCTACGCTGGTCGTGTGGTGGTGCGGAGCCTGCTTGGGATTCTCGATCATTCTCTCTCTGCCCCTCCCCCACTTGCATGCACTGTCTCAAAATAATAAACTTAAAAAAAACAAACAAACAACTCCACCGTAGCCTCCAGAATCGCACAAGTTCCTTCCGTTATTAGTTCATCCTCTGTTAATTACCACGTGAGGTCTCATTCATTGGATCAACAAGTACTGAGCATCAGACAAAAACAGGAAAAGACAGTCAGGCCCGCCCTCAGCCCCGGGGGAGGGAGGGGTGGGAGAAGCGGACCATCGGCCCGCAAGGGGCTGTGCACGGGTCACCCTCAGCCTCCGCATAGGCCCCACCCCATCGGTGCCCCCAGCTTCCTCCTGGTGGTGAAGTGTAGAACTCCCTGTCCAGGTCGCCTTCAAGAGAGGCGCGTCACGTGACCGCGTCGGGCGCAGGGGGCGGGGCCGAACGGCCAGGCGCTGCCGGGTCGCCTAGCAACGGCGCCACGCAGAGCCATGCAGGCCCGCGGCAACAGAGAGCAGGAGGCCAGGGATTATTTGGAAAAACATCGGATTATGGAGTTGCTGAACTATCTCACCAGCACCTTGCTCTTTTTCCGGCCAGGTAAGAGTCTTTCCCACCGCTCGGCTTTCTGTCCCACCGCCTCCGCCTCCCGGCGCGGAGCGGTTGCCAGAAATTCCCAGTATAGCCATCCCTCCGCGCCCGCGCGGCCGCCGGCCGGCTCCCCTCTCCAGTACCCCCACCTCCACGCGCACACTCTCCCCTATATCTCGGCGACTTGAGCCGTTCTGCCAACTAACGCTGTGGTCCTCAAACAAGTACTTTCTGAACGGCTTCTGTGTGCCCACCACTAGCCAGGTGCGCGGGGCTCACACAGGTGGAGGCTCGTGGCCGGTGGGAGAGAGGCTTCAAGGAGGGGCCTGTTTAGTACTACATGCGTGTGGGCGCAAGCCTGCCCTTGAGTCTCTTCTTCTGGAAAATGGGAATAATATTACCCATCTTATGGACACGTGGGGGAGATTAAATGAGTAGTATACAAATTAGCCCTATGCCTGGCAACCAACAGATGTTTCATTTTGGTTTTTATAAAAGTATACGTATGGGGTTTAAAAATCAAAAGCCACTCCAAGGCTTATCATGAATAACGGCATTTCCCTCCATGTCCCAGATTCCCACTCTACAGACGAAATGATTTCCCATTCGTTTAGCTATTTACCTTGATATTTCTAACTCACAGACTTGCACTGCTACTTACTAGTGCCCCCCGCACCCTAGGTTTAGGCTTAGCTTTATACTATGGAAGATGAAACTTTTTTTTTTAATTTTTTTTCAACGTTTATTTATTTTGGGACAGAGAGAGACAGAGCATGAACGGGGGAGGGGCAGAGAGAGAGGGAGACACAGAATCGGAAACAGGCTCCAGGCTCCGAGCCATCAGCCCAGAGCCTGATGCGGGGCTCGAACTCACGGACCGCGAGATCGTGGCCTGGCTGAAGTCGGACGCTTAACCGACTGCGCCACCCAGGCGCCCCTGAAGATGAAACTTTTAACTCTCTTACACACCTGCACCCACGTGTGCACGCTCGCGCGCACACACACGCACTCACACCTGTTCCCACTCATCTCCAATTTCCCAAGAAAGTTAGAATTCAATTTTGGTGTGACCAGTATCACATTATCAGGCAAATATCCACAGCTAATCCACGTAGTATGCTATGATTGTATTTCCTTTGTTCTCCCTGATATTAATAATACTACATTTTAAATGTTTACTTAAATTTTCTTTGCAATTGTCGCCAATTCATCGATATCCCCCTGCTGTCACAAGCATAGATGTCCTCCCAGTACATTTACTTTCATCCAGCAGTCCACACCCCCAGGGCCTCCCCCAGCTCTCTGCCTGCTCTAGTCTGGATGATCGCTCAACTGCCCTGCAGTTCAGCTGTGATTCAGGGTTGTCCCTCACTCTGATCCTAATCCACTTCACCTGTCTCCTGCACTTAAAGCCCGCTTTCTTTCTTTTTTTTTTTTATTTAAAAAAATATATTTTTTTTTATTTTTGAGAGAGAGCGAGCGCCAGCAGGGGAGGGGCAGAGAGAGAGAAGGAGACACAGAATCCAAAGCAGGCGTCAGGCTCTGAGCTGTCAGAACAGAGCCCACATGGGGCTCTAACCCATGAACTGTGAGATCATGACGTGAGCCAAAGTCTGATGCTTAGTCGACTGAGCCACCCAGGTGCCCCTAAAGGCTGTTTTGTGGTGCTTGGGCCTCCTCCTTTTTTTTTTTTTTTTTTTGCTTTTTTCCCCTTTCTCTAGGGGAACATCCTCTAGTGAGCGGCTCCCTGAGAGGCTGTGCGTTGTTGGAGCATATATGAAAATGTCTCATCCTATTCTCAAACATGATGATAACCAGGGTGGATACGATTCTTGGTTAGAAAATACTGCCCTCAGAACTTGGAGGGCGTTGTTCCATTGTCTTCTAATTGCCACTGTTGCTCTGAAGAGTCTGATATCATGATGTCATCAGATTCTTGATCTCTTTAATATAAGGCATGTTTTCTTCATCTGGAAGTCTTTAGGTTTGTCTTTTTACTTTATCCCTGGTGTTCTAAATGTTTATATGCCTTAAAGGGGGGTTGTTTTCAGTGTTTATTTATTTTTGGGACAGAGAGAGACAGAGCATGAACGGGGGAGGGGCAGAGAGAGAGGGAGACACAGAATCGGAAACAGGCTCCAGGCTCCGAGCCATCAGCCCAGAGCCTGACGCGGGGCTCAAACTCACAGACCGCGAGATCGTGACCTGGCTGAAGTCGGACGCTTAACCGACTGCGCCACCCAGGCGCCCCAAGGGGGGTTGTTTTGTTTGTTTGTTTCTAATTCACTGTACTAGGTGCTTTGTGGTCTTTTTTAATTTGTAGATTTTTTCTGTCTTCTCCTTCTTTCCTGTCCTTTTTCTCTCTAGCTCTTTATTGTGTCAACCAGTAGAGTATCTCAAGGATTGATTTTTCTCCTTTAATTTAAAAGGCTTTGAACCCATCTGGCAAAAACAGAATTCTGTGGAAGGCAGGGTGGGGGGAAGAGAATCTCAGATAAAGACAAATTCTCTTAGCAGCAGAGGATAAGGAAGGGGGAGTCTGGGAGTAGTTACACATTAATACCATAATCCCCATTACAATCACAATTTAAATTTTTTTAATGTTTATTTATTTATTAGAGACAGAGAAAGAGCGTGAGCTGGGGAGCGGAGAGGAAGAGGGGGACACAGAATCTGAAGCAGGCTCCAGGCTCTGAGCTGTCAGCACAGAGCTCGATGTGGGCCTGGAACCCACGGACTGAGAGATCATGACCTTAGTCGAAGTCAGACGCTTAAACCGACTGAGCCACTCAGGTGCCCCATATAATCATAATTTAAATAATGATCAGTGAAAGAAACTGAGATGCTGTTATCCACTGTAACAATATGAACTTCTTGAAACATCTCTACAAATGCCAAAGGGGGTGAGGCAGGGCGGAGAAAAGGACAGGTGAAGAAACACTGAGGAAAAGCTAAGGAGGGTTTGGCTGGCGTTCAGAATGCATATCAGTGCCCTTCAAAGTTCCCTGCGCAAGGCCCCCTAATGGCAGAGGAGAGGGGACTTGTACCTTTGGTGTCTGAGACCTTAGCCTGATGCTGAATAACACATTTCTTTGGAGTCAGTTGTTTTACCCTAAAAATGTCCAAGTTTCATTTTTCTACAGATATATTTGTTTCTTTTTATTATTATTATTTTTTTTTTTTAATGTTTATTTTTGAGAGACAGGGAGAGACTGTGAGTGGGGGAGGGGCAGAGAGAGAGAGAGAGAGAGAGAGAGAAAGACACAGAATCTGAAAAGGCCCCAGGCTCTGAGCTGTCAGCACAGAGCCCGACCGTGGGGCTTGAACTCACAAGCGGTGAGATCATGACCTGAGCTGAAGTCAGATGCCCAGCCGACTGAGCCACCCAGGTGCCCCAAGACATATCTGTTTCTTAATGTAAATATTTCATATTATCAGAGTAGGATTGATTCTCAGGAAGAAATACTGTATTTGTCTCGGGTCCTTATGAAGCCTCTGGCACAATGACCGGTATCCCAGTGTCAAAACCCTGGATTGTAAGGGATTTATGGAAAATAAGACTAGACAGTTTGATTGGGTTGTTATATCGAGGGAGCAGGTCCACAATCCCACATCCTCAACTCCAAAATTCTAAAAGCCCTGGAAACCTGCAGATTTTCATAACTCATTTAACGCCAAAACCTAGCATAACCTGAAGTCATGTGGTAGGAAAACGTGGCCTCACCTAGACTGTAATGGGAAACAGAGCCCCTGGCTGCACAGCCACTTTGCAGTGACCATTCTGTACTATGGAAGGAGCGAGTATACGTGCTTAGGGGGTGCCTTTAATAAAATTAGAATTTCATTTTTAGAGAGGAGGCAGTTGTAGTAACCCAGATGAGAGATGCTGCTGTGGAATCGTAAGTGAGGATAAGATATATCTGAGAGTGATGGAGAAGAAAAGTTCAGTAGAAACCGTCATGGTGGACTTGGTTTGGGCGTTCCAGATGCTTCGTATATTTAAGTCAGTGGAGCGCGGTAAAGCCCACAGCTTTGGGAGGCACATTGCCTGGATTCATCCTAGCTCTGGGCCTTGGCAAGGGACTGTTATGAGGAACACTAGGCACGTAGAGAGGGCTCGATAAACGTTAGCTGCGATTATTAAGATGTGGAACTTGAGGTTTGTCCCCCTTGAAGAACTGATTGTTATTATCAGCTGACATTGATGTAACTTAGGTGGTTAGTAACCTTTGGATCTTCCCTTCATGTTTTAAAGTTATTTCTTTAGGGCCGCCTGCCTGGCTGAGTTGGTGGAGCCTGTGACACTTGATCTTGGGGGTGTGAGTTCAAGCCCCATGTTGGGTGGAGAGATTACTTAAAAATAAAATCTTTAGGGGTGCTTTGGGTGGCTCAGTTGGTTAAGCATCCGAGTCTTGATTTGGGCTCAGGTCATGATTTTATGGTTCGTGGGGTCAAAACCCCTTGTCAGGCTCTGTACTGACAGTGCCGAGACTGCTTGGGATTCTTTCTGCCCGCCCCGCCCCCTGCCCCTCCCCTGATTGTGCATGAGCTCGCTCTCTCAAAATAAATAAATAAACCATTTAAAAAATAAAAATAATAAAAATCTTTTAAAAAGTTATATCTATTATTTCTGTTGCAAGCACTTTCAAACATTTTTTTTTAATTTTTAGAAAATATTTATTTTTGAGAGAGAGAGAGAGAGAGAGAGAGAGAGAAAGACACAGTGCTAGCAGGGGAGGAACAGAGAGGGAGGGAGACACAGAATCCAGAGCAGGCTCCGGGCTCCAAGCTTCCAGCACAGAGCCTGACACAGGGCTCGAACCCACAAACCGCGAGATCATGACCTGAGCCACCCAGGCGACCCCAAAACATTTGTAGAAGCAGGCAGAGTATAAATTATAGACTCCAGACCTGAACATTATAGCATCTTGTGGAGTCTAAGGGATATACGGTAATAACACACCTAGTTCCCTTAGAATTATTTACTTAACTCTATCCTTAGAAAGAAATGCAGTGAATTGAAATTTGAAATTGGCCTTTTTTTCTCTTTCTGAATTTGATAGACAGCTGAGGGAGAAGCAACCAAAGACTACATACATGATGTGATTGCCTTTAGTGACCCATTTGTTTCTGTAGTCTACTAAAATTTGTACGAAAAGGCACAAGAGAGATTTAAAAACATAATCACAATATGTGAATACTATTTGAATAAAAGTGTTTTTACTTTTACTTAAAAAAAATTTTTTTTTGTTTAACGTTTATTTATTTTTGAGACACAGAGAGACAGAGCATGAACAGGGGAGGGGCAGAGAGAGAGGGAGACACAGAATCTGAAACAGGCTCCAGGCTCTGAGTGGTCAGCACAGAGCCCGACGCGGGGCTCGAACTCACGGACCGCGAGATCGTGACCTGAGCCGAAGTCGGACGCTTAACCGACCAAGCCACCCAGGCACCCCTACTTTTACTTTTTAAAATGTTTTAAAAGATTTATTTATTTATTTATTTATTTATTTATTTATTTATTTATTCATGTATTTTGAGAGAGAGAGCATGTGCAGGGGAGGGGCAGAGAGAGAGAGAGAGAGAATCCCAAGCAGGCTCTACACTGTTAGTGCAGAGCCTGATGCAGGCTTGATCCCGGAACCATGAGATCATGACCTGAGCTGAGATCAAGAGTTGGAGGCTTAACCAAATGAGCCAGTGCTATTTTTTTTTTTTTTTTAAGAAGTGTTCACAATTCGGGGTGCCTGGGTGGCGCAGTCGGTTGAGCGTCCGACTTCAGCCAGGTCACGATCTCGCGGTCCGTGAGTTCGAGCCCCGCGTCAGGCTCTGGGCTGATGGCTCGGAGCCTGGAGCCTGTTTCCGATTCTGTGTCTCCCTCTCTCTCTGCCCCTCCCCCGTTCATGCTCTGTCTCTCTCTGTCCCAAAAATAAATAAAAAACGTTGAAAAACAAAAATTAAAAAAAAAAAAAAGAAGTGTTCACAATTCATAAAATTTGTGAGACTACTGGAAATATTACTGCCTGGCTATATGGAGGTATTAAAAAATTTTTTTTAATGTATGGATGGTATTGTGGTAATGGCATTACGGTAATGGAAAAAGAAAAAAGTTCCCTCTTCAACAAAGGATATTGGGAAAACTGGGTAACCACATGCAGAAAAATAAAATTGGATCCCTATCTTATACCACCCACAAAAACGAACTCAAAATGGATCAAAGACTTAAACATAAAACCTGATACCGTAAAACTCCTAGAAGAAAACCTAGGGAGAAGCTCCTTGACACAAGTCTTGGCAATTATTTTTTGGATATGACAGCAAAAGCACAAACAGCAAGATGAAAAATCAACAACTGGGACCACATCAAACTTACAAGCTTCTGCACCACAAAGAAAGAATCAACAAAATGAAAACGCAGCCTACAGAATGGGAGAAAGTATTTGCAAACTATGTGTCAGATAATATCTGAAATATAGAAAGAACTCCTACAACTCAATAACAAAGAAAAATCTTATTTAAAAATGGGCAGTGGGAGCTGCCTGGCTCAGTCAGAAAAGCATCCTGCTCCTGATCTCAGGGTTATGAGTTTGAGCCCCACATTGGGTGTAGCCATTACTAAAATAAATAAATAAACGTTTTTAACAATGGGCAGAGGAACTAGACATTTTCCCAAGGAAGACACACAAAAGGCCAGCAGGTACATAAAATGATGCTTAACATCACTAATCATCAGGGAAATGCAAATAAATATCACCTCACACCTGTTAGAATGGCTATTATCCAAGAGGCAAAGATAACAAGTGAGAATGTGGAGAAAAAGGAACTCTTGTGCACTGTTGCTAGGAATATAAATTGGTATAGCTACTGTGGAAAACATGGGGGTTCCTCAAAAAAAATGAAAACAGAACTACCATATGCTCCAGCAATTCCACTTCTGGGTATATATCCAAAGACAATGAAAACAGGATCTCAAAGAGATACCTGCACTCTCATGTTTATGTAGCATTATTCACAGGAGCCAAGATATGGAAACAGCCTAAGTATCTGTCTACAGATGGATGGATGATGAAGATGTGCTATGTTTATACAATGGAGTATTATTCAGCCGTGAGAAAGAAAGAAATCCTGCCATGTGCAACATGGACGGCCCTTGAGGATATGCTAAGTGAGCTAAGTCAGACAAACACTGCATGCTATCACTTGTATGTGGAATCTGAAAAAGCCAAAGTTGTAAAAACAGAGTAGAACAATGAGTGGGGGTGGGAGTAGGAGAGATGTTGTGGAAGGGTACAGACTTGCAGCTGTAAAGAAGTCTTGGAAACCTAATGCACAGCATAGTGCTGACAGACAATATTACTGTATCATAAATATCAAACTTGCCAAGAGACTCTATCTTAATTATTCCCACCCCTAAAAAGAAATAATAATTATGTGATGTGATGAAGGTGTTAGCTAATGCTGCAATGGCAATCATATTACGAAATATAAATGTATCAAATCAACATGTTATATAAACTTACACAATGTTACATGTCAGTTGTATCTCAAAAGAAGTCCTTCTCTTTCAGAGATGTACGCTCAAATATTTATTAATGAAATATGATCACTGTGATTTACTGCAGAATAATACAGGAAAAGGGGACCTGGATGAGATGATGGTGAAATAAGACTGGCCACAATTTTTTAAAATTTATTTTAAGTTTGTTTATTTTGTGAGAGAGAGAGAGACAAGGAGGGTCAGAGAGAGAGGGAGAGAGAGAATCCCAAGCAGGCTCCACACTGTCCGTGCAGAGCCAAATGCAGGGCTCCAACTCCTGAACCGCGAGATCATGACCTGAGCTGAAATCAAGAGTCTGACACTCAACTGACTGAGCCACCCAGGTGCCCCTAGACTGGCCACAAATTTTAACAGTTAAAAGTTGGTGACAGGTTCATTTTACTTTCCTGCTTTTGTATATTTATGAAATTCTCAATGAGAAAAACAAATTTAAAGAATTTTGTATGTACACACGTTTATATATGTACAAACATACATATACACACACTACTGTGTGTGTGGTGTGTGTGCATAGTGTGTGTAGTGAGTGGCACTCACCTAAGCTGCTGCACCTTCTTTTGGCTTCTTTTCATCATAACTGACCTCCATTATTTCTGTAAAGTGGATCTTCATTTTTTTATCTTTCATATTGCTTAAATGAAAGATGGCCTGCTAATCCAAAATACTGCTTTTATGTTAGAAATGAACATTCATGGGTGCCTGGCTGGCTCAGCCGGTTAAGCATCTGACTTCACCTTGGGTCATGATCTCACGGTTCGTGAGTTCAAGTCCTGTTTTGGGTGAGCCACTTCTGTGCGCCTCTCTCTCTCTCGCGCTCTCTCTCTTTCTCTCTCTCTGCCCCTTGCTTGCTTGCACCCTCTTTCTCTATCTCAAAAAAAAAAAAAAAGATGGGGCACCTGGGTGGCTCAGTCGGTTAAGCGTCCGACTTCAGCTCAGGTCATGATCTCAGAGCTCATGAGTTCGAGCCCCGCATCAGGCTCTGTGCTGACAGCTCAGATCCTGGAGCCTGCTTCGGAGACTGTCTCTCCCTCTCTCTCTGCCCCTCCCTTGCTCATGCTCTATCTCCTTCTCTCTCTCTCTTAAAAATAAATAAACATTAAAAAAACAGTTTAAAATGAAAAAAAAGAACATTCATGCTTCCTAATTGGAGGAGGGTATTAATTAATCCAAGAGTCCCTGTTTTTATTTATATTTTATCGCTTCTTTTAGCTGGCTGCCTTCTTCCCTGCATCATGCTCTTCCTTTTTGTTGCTTTTCCACTCTTATCTGCAAATTAGAATCACCTGAGGAGTTGGGAAAAAAAAGCCCAGGTCCCATCTCTGCAGAACACTTACATACATAATTAATTGTTCGATGTCTTGCTTTTCTTGTAAGCAAGGCCTGTGTCCCCAGTGCCTATTACAATACCTTGAACATAGTTATTTAATAATTGTTAAATGACTGTTTCTACTTGTGATATATCTTAATTTTATATTGGAAAGAATTGGAACTATTCTTTTGCAGAAAAACCAAGAGAGTATTTAATATCTGTATTGGAACAACTGAGAATTGCCAAAATGACAGGCTTGGCTTTTCCTTTCTTTATGGATCATTCTAACATTGTGTCTATGTTTGAAATGATGGACACTTCGAATAAAGGCACCATATCGTTCGTGCAATACAGAGAAGGTCAGTTATCATCTCAATTAAAGCAATAGTTTGTGGCCATTCCATAACTTTCCCTAGCTGAAAATAATTCTCGCTTCATAAATTTTCCTTTCTCCTCATTCTGATTTTACAGCCTTAAAAACCCTGGGTCTGTTGACTGCAGATGAAGTTTTAAAAGATGATGGACATGCAGTAACTCTGGATAAATTCAGACGTGAAGTGTAAGTTTATTTTTACGTGACTGATGTTTAAATAATACGGCATGACTTAAAGTACAATGAAAACAATTTAAAACATAAGTTCCTACCTTTTGACAGAAACATTTCAGTCCCTTGAAACTTTCAGCTGTCTAGAAAGCGAGGAGTGACAGCAAAATGTTAAGCCTGGGGGCAGGCGGCAGAGGGAGAAGGTGCTGGAATTAGGAAGTTTCTGGGGCACTTCCATTCTTTTCTCAGTGGGAAAGCCCAGCAGTTCTCAGAAAATGAAGTGGAGAAGCCCCAGTGTTCTGGAACTAACAGAAAAGTTCTGAGCCCAAATCCCTAGTTGGGAAATTTCTGTATAAAATATGGAGTAATAGAATTTCTCTCAAAGCATTTCCTCAAAATTATTTATCACCAGGTTAAGTATTTACCATCAGTATATGTTGTGAGGCCCCTGGCTGACTCAGTCAGTAGAGCATGTGACTCTTGATCTTGGGATCAGGAGTCCAAGCCCCCGTTGGGTGTAGAGCTTATTTAAAAACAAACAAACAAAAAACAGTACGGGAGAGTACGTGGCTCAGTCAGTTGAGCGTCCGACTCTTGATTTCAGCTCATGTCACGGATCTTGCAGTTCATAGGATCGAGCCCCACATCCGCGCCATGCCAAAAGAGTGGAGTCTGCTTGGGATTCTCTCCCTCCCTCCCTCTCTGCCATTCCTCCCCACATAAGTAAAAAAATAATAATAAAGAAATAGGATAGGTTGCATGCCAGCCTGACAGTTTTATTTATTTACTTACTTATTTAAGCAGGCCCCATGCCCAGTATGGGGCTCAAACCCACCACCCTGAGATCAAGAGTTGCATGCTCTACCACCTGAGCCATCCAGGGGCCCTAGGACAATTTTAGATGCAAGTTATATTACAGCTTTAAAAGTACTAACTAACTGGGTGGCGCAGTCGGTTAAGCGTCCGACTTCAGCCAGGTCACGATCTCGCGGTCTGGGAGTTCGAGCCCCGCGTCAGGCTCTGGGCTGATGGCTTGGAGCCTGGAGCCTGTTTCCGATTCTGTGTCTCCCTCTCTCTCTGCCCCTCCCCCGTTCATGCTCTGTCTCTCTCTCTGTCGCAAAAATAAATAAATGTTGAAAAAAAAAAATTAAAAAAAAAAAAAAGTACTAACTAAATGCTGAATCAGAAAACAAAAAAATTGGAATAACATTTGATAGTTGTAGAAGGCCTCTAACCAATGTAATTCAATTTGTTTAAATGTTTTGTTCTCTAAGGATTTATTAATCAAGAAATTGGTATGTAACATAGTCCAAAAAGCCAAGGAAAAGTCAAAGAAAAAAGAAAGTTTAAGATTCCCGTCTCATTATCAGTTACATAAATATTAAACAAAAACTGTTTAATTCCCATCCTTGCCCCGGGGAGAGACTGAAACACAGTGCCCTGGCCTGAAATGTTTCATCCAAAAGAAAAGGCTGCCTGCCCACTGTCCTGGAATGGAATTAGGAAGGATCATTTGTGGAATATGAGAGCAATTCTATTTTGGTCACCACCTCATAATGTTTTCTTAGAGGAAAGACAGTGAATTTCCAAACCAGATACGGGAACTTCAATTATGAACATATATTCTAAAGTGATTTTTTTTTTTAATGTATTTGCTGTGTTTGATTATCTACAACAGTCTCCCTTAATTAGCACAGGAAATTGAAAATTGCTTGTAATTTATTATTCTCTGCTCTTGTATCTTGTTCAACAGACATACTTAGCATTTACATTTGTAAATGGAATTACTCGGAGTTTTCATGACTTCTGAGTTTTCTGGTTTTGTTTTCTTAGGAACAAGAGGATGGAGGAAATATGGGCAGTGTTTTAATAATGCCATCAGTCCAAGATAATAAATGATTCCATAAAGTTTTCAACTGTCCAGTTTCATTAACTCAGAACTTCGTCACATAACTTGACATCCAGTTGGCCTCCTCTTTGTTAAACACCAAAACTCCAAAACAGGAAAAGATGCTTTATTTTCCCGTGTTAGGCCAGTTTGTCCTCAAATTAAGTAGAATCTCAACATCTTGTTGAGCCAGTTTGTAAATTCCAACTTCGTTTAAGGCCTCGGTGGCAGGAGGCTGCCCTGAGGCTGACTGCAGGACGTCTTTCAGAAGGAGGGCAGAGCCAATGTTCAGATTCAAAACAATACACGCTTCTTTGACACTGTTTAAGAAAAAAAAAGGCAGGTGGGAAATGAGATATCCATCATCTGTATCATCACGTTGTTCCATATAATATTTTCATTTTCAGAAACTAAACAGCTTCCATGCACTGCTAATCCACATGCCTCTCTAGAAAGTATTTATGGATTTATTATTTGGCTCTTTTAACATGTAAGGACAATGTATGCATATAGTGTTTCTATTTCATTAGATTACTATAATGTGATAGGATCATTGTTTTCCATATGTGTGTGTTACTCCAAAAGGTAATATTGACACTAACATAATAGTCTATTAAATGTGGCTAAGACTTTAGGTAGATTACAATATGGGAAGAGAAACTAATAAAAAAGAAAAAAAAATTCAGATCTCTTACTAAAATAAATATCATTTTTTCATTTTATAATAACTTTAAAGGGACTACTTTATAATCTCAAACTCCTCTCCCAATAATTTAAATTTCAAACCAATAATTCTAAAAATGGTTTGAAGAATTTTTCTGACACTCATTTATAGTTACGCTTAGAACCAAAATCAACATAAATATGTAAGAAAACCACTTTCTTCATGCCTGGCCTACTATTAGGTACCAGGCATATTTTTAATTTCTTCTATTTATTGACTGTGGTACAACTGCACTTGCCTTTATTTTCTATTTGTCTCTCCAGTAACAGGCAAATAGAAGCATGAAACCAATGCTGGGAACAAAGCCCAGCCCATAACTCAGATCCAGTTCTGATAAATTTGGGGGGGGGGGGGTGGGGGTCATGGGTCACACCTTAGAGTAGCTGGGTACATGATGAATGTTTTCAATTTTTAGCTGATGCTGTATTTATGCCACCACACATCACAGGGCCCCTAGGGCTGTGAAAAGAGGAATCAACATCCTGTAAAGCTTGATGCCATCAACAGTCATTGTTAAGTTCTGAGCTTACTGTTTGAAGTAATTTTCTGGCCTCTTGCAATAGCGGGAGAACAGGGGGAACAGGTTCCGAGTCATATCAAACTGGAGCTGAGCTGCCCCTCCCTCGTTGAAATGATTGGCAAGAACAATCTGAAACAAAGAGCAGTTTGTGTCACACGTGCCTTTGCCATCAGGGCCCCGGAACGCCGCCCGCTCTTGCTTACTTCTTGGTAGATGTACACATCCAGCTTCTCCACAAGCACCTGCCAGAAGACTGTGAACAAGGAGAAGCAAAGCTGCTCCTCCAGCTGGAGTAAGCGGTCTCTCACGGTGAGCAGCAGCGGGCAGGCCGAGCTGGACAGGGACATCACCGCCTGCTCCGACTGCGACGGCAGCGACAGCCACCTGCGAGGGACCAAGACCGCACCGCCTGCAGCGCGTTACATTTTACTACGGAATCTTCAAAACCTTGTACTTTGAGAGATGTGACCAATCATTTTACATGTGGGGAAGTGCACTGTCCTGGGGCATCTTGGTTGGATAAGAGCAAAATGTACAGCCCAACATTAAAAGCCGTCTCAGAAAATAAATATAACTATATTGATACACTGATTCTCCATTAAATACTCCCTTATTTAATGAGGATGACACATCATTTCCTTAATGTGACTTACTGAAATAATTACAAAGTGGTTAAAATGTAACATGTATTAGCATCTAAGACAGGTAATTTTATGCTCTGGTTTTCCGCAGAATAACAGGGACTAAGCACACTTGCAAACGGATTACAAATGCTCGGCGTGACGGGGGGACTGTGCTGGAGAAGACAGACCCTGCCTGTTCTCAGAGTACGCAGTGTGGGGAAAGGGACAGAGACCACAGAATCACGACAGTGGATACAGAGTACCCTGCAGGCACGCATGCAGAGTACTGTTGGGGCACCAGGCCACTCAGCCCCACATCCCAGACCAGTTGTGACTATCTCTGTAGTCACAACTACATCTGAGGGTTAAATTAGGATCAGTTTATTCTGATTAAGAATGTCTGAACAGGGCCCCCTGCGTGGCTCAGTTGGTGGTCTCTGACTCTTGATTTCAGCTCAGGTCGTGATCTCCCAGTTCATGGCTTTGAGTCCCATGTCAGGCTCTGTGCTGACAGTGCAGAGCCTGCTTGGGATTCTCTCTCTCTCTCTCTCTCTCTCTCTCTCTCTCAGGATGAATAAATAAACTGAATAAATGTCTGAATATATTTTAGAAAGCTTTCTATCAAAAATGGTTAAAAGTCTGTAGAGCAAAAGGCCAAACTCTGCTATCTAGACACCTTGGAAATTTGCATATATCATCTTTCAATCTTTTTTAAAGTTTTTATTTTAATCACTGATATTCATCACCAAGTGGGCGCCTTAATCCCCATCACCTATTTTACCCATCCCTCCACCCACCTCCCCTCTGGTAACCATCATTTGGTTCTCTGTAGTTAAGAGTCTGTTTCTTGGTTTGCCTCCCTCTTTTTTTCCTTTGTTCATTTGTTATGTCTCTTAAATTCCACATATGAGTGACATCATATGGTATTTGTCTTTCTCTGACTTATTTTGCTTAGCATAATACTCTCTAGCTCCATCCCTGTTGTTGCAAATAGCAAGGTTTCAAAATTTTTTTATGGCCAAATAATATTCCATTGTAGATATACACCACATTTTTTTTTTTATTCATTCATCTATCAGTGGACACTTGGGCTGCTTCCATATCTTGGCTCTTGTAAATAATGCTGCCATAAACATAGGAATGCATGTATTCCTTTGAATTAGTGTTTTCATATTCTTTGAGTAAATACACAGTAGTGTGATTCCTGAATCGTGGGGTAACTTTTTGAGGAAACTCCATACTGCTTTCTAGAGTGGCTGCACCAGTTTGCATTCCCACCAACAGTGCACAAGGGTTCCTTTTACTCCACATGCTCACCAACACCTGTTGTTTCTTGTGTGTGTTTTGTTTATTTATTTTGAGAGAGCGAGCAGGAGGGGCAGAAATAGAGGGAGAGAGGGAATCCCAAGCAGGCCCCACACCGTCAGTGTAGAGCCCGACACGGGGCCTGAACTCATGAAACCGTGATACCAGGACCTGAGCTGAAACCAAGAGTCAGACGCTTAACCGACTGAGCCACCAGGTGCCACGTGTTTCTCATGGTTTTGATTTTTAGCCATTTGGACAACTATGAGGTGATAGCTCACTGTGGTTCTGATTTGCATTTTCCTGGTGTTAAGTGATGATCAGCATCTTTTCATGTGTCTGTTGGCCATCTGGATGTCTTCTTTGCAGAAATGTCTGTTCGTGTCTTCTCATTTTTGAGTGGATTGTTTTGGGGGTGTTGTACCAGTTCTTGATCTATTTTGGATACTAACCCTTCATCAAATATGTCATTTGCAAACATCTTGTCCCATTCAGTAGTTGCCTTTTAGTTTTGTTGATTGTTTTCTTTGCTGTGCAGAAGCTTTTTATTTAATGTAGTCCCAATAGTTTTTGTTTTTTGTTGTTGTTTTGTTTGCTTTTTTTCCCTTGCCTCAGGGGACCTATCTAGAAAAAAGTTGCTATGATCAATGTCAGAAAAATTACTGCCTATATTCTTTTCTAAGATTTTTATGGTTTCGGGTCTCACATTTAGGTCCTTAATCTATTATGAATTTATTTTTGTGTATGGTGTATGAAAGTGGCCCAGTTTCATTCTTTTGCATGCAGCTGTCCGGTTTTCCCAGCACCATTTGTTGAAGAGACAGTCCTTTTCCCTTTAGATATTCTTTCCTGCTTTGTCAGAGATTAATTGACCAAATAGTTGTAGGTTTATTCTGGGTTTTCTATTCTGTTCTTTTGATCTATGTGTCTATTTTTGTGCCAGTACCATACTGTTTTGATCCTACAGACTTGTAATAGAACTTGGAAGTCCAGAATTGTGATGCCTCAGCTTGCTTTTCTTTTTCAAGATCGCTTTGGCTATTTGGGATCTTTTGTAGTTTCATCCACGTTTGATAACTGTTCTACTTCTGTGAAACATGTTGCTGGTATTTTGATAGGGATTGCATTAAATGTGTAGGTTGCTTTGGGTAGTGTAGGCATATTAACAATATTTTTTCTCCCAGTCCATGAGCATGGAATGTCTTCCCATTTCTCTGTGTCGTCTTCAGTTTCTTTCATCAGTGTTTTGTAGTTTTCTGAGTATAGTTCTTTCACTTCTTTGGTTAGTTTTATTCCTGGGTATCTTACTGTTTTTGGTGCAGTTGTAATGGGACTGTTTTCTTAATTTCTCTTTCGGCTGAGATGTAACAGGTTTCTGTACATTGTGTACACTGTGACTTTGCTGAATTCATTCATCAGTTCTAGCAGTTTTTTGGTGGAGTCTTTTGGATTTTCTATATATGGTATCATGTCATCTGCAAACAGTGAAAGTTTGACTTCCTCCTTACCCATCTGGATGCCTTTTCTTTCTTTTTGTTATCTGATTGCTGTAGTTAGGACTTCAGTACTGGGTTGAATGTGATGGTGAGAGTGGACAACCTTGTCCTGTTCCTGACCTTAAGGGACAGGCACTCAGCTTTTCCCACTGAGGACGCTATCAGCTTTTCACACATGGCCAGGCCAGTTTTTCACACATGGCCTTTATTATGTTGAGATATGTTCCCTTTAAACCTACTTTGTCGAGGATTTGTTGTCATGAATGAATGTTGTACTTTGTCAAATGCTTTTTCTGCCATCTACTGAAATAATCACATTATCCTTCTCCTTTCTCTTATGTTGATGTGATGTATCATACTGATTGATTTGTGATACTGAACCACCCTTGCAATCCAGGAATAAATCTCACTTGATCATGGTGAATGATTCTTTTAATGTATTGTTGGATTTGGTTTGCTAGTATCTTGTTGAGGATTTCTGTACCCATGTTCATCAGGGATACTGGCCTGCAGTTCTCTTTTGTTGTGGAGTCTTGGTCTAGTTTTGAAATCAGGGTCATGCTGGCCTCAGAATGAATTTGGAAGTTTTCCTTCCTCTTCTATGTTTTGGAATAGTCTGAGAAATATAGGTATTTATCATCTTTCAACTTTTAGCAAACTGGATTTGAGAGTTGAGTAATAAGAAAATATGAAGGACTTACCTTTCTTTTTTATACAATTTTGCAGCATCTTTAACTTCTCTAAAAACATGGTCTACTTGGCGGGTCAACATGTCATGCTTTAAACGCTCCAGTAGGTTAATCATGTCATCAAAGACAGAACTCTCCATAGAGGCCAGCTGTCCCAGCTGCAATTTACTGAGGGTGTTATTCTCTGCAAAGACCTCCAGTGCTGCCTGCTGAAGTTGCAGGAAGAACTGAAAGCAAAAATGTATTAACATGGTCATTAAGATGCTTCCTTTTTAACAGCATGAAATAGAATTCATGTACTACAACTCACTTGTTTAAAGTGTACAATATATTGGCTTTTAGTGTATATTCAGAATTGTGCATCTAACGCCAGTGTCAATTTTAGAAATGTTTTCTTTACTCCAAAAAGATACCCCACACTTAACCATCATCTCCCAATCCTCTCCGTGCACCCTCCCACCCTAGGCAAACCACTCATCTTTCTGTCTCTATCGATTTGCCTCTTCTGGATGTTTCACATAAATGGAATCCTGTAATTTCTGGCTCTTTCTGACTGGCTTCTTTCACTTAGTATGTTTTCAAGGTTCATCTATGTTGTAAGATGTATCAGTACTTAATTTCTTTTAATTGCTTAATAATATTCCATTATATGGCCGTACCACATTGTATTTAGCTATTCATCAGATGACAGACAGCTGGGTTCTTTTTCGTCTATTATGAACAATACTGCAGTGAACATTTGTGTGTATGGTTTTGTGTGGACAAATATCTCCAATTCTCTTGGGTATACTGGGAGTAGAACTGCTGGGTCATACGGTAATTCTGTGTTTAGCTATTTGAGGACCTGCAGACTCTCTTCCACAGTGGCTGTACCATCTTACATTCCTACCAGCTGTGTGTGAGGGTTCCAACTTCTCTACCTCTGCACTAGCAATTGTTATTATGTCTTTTTTATTATAGCCATCTTAGTTTATATTTAGTGATGTCTCACTATGATTTTAATTTGCATTTCCCTGATGGCTGATTTCTTTAAGTACTCATTTTCTCCGAACACAGACTGAGAGTTGTAGTAAGCAGATTTATGAGAGTTAAGAGAATTAAAATGTCATTTTTACAGTGGCATTTTAGGTAGAATATGTATTATTTTTTTCTGCCCTACAGAAAAATAACGCTGTGGATATTTAGCAAGAGATTAAAGGCAACCTAAATGCCCATTAATAGGGAACAGGATATGGCCACAATAAGTGACTGTTCAGGGATGGACATGTGAGAGGCCACACTGGTATTTTCTGCTGAACCTATCAGAGAAGAGGCACTGGTCCTCTCAGTGCCTGGACAGTGGGAGCCTGGAGCCACCTGTTTCCACACTCCCAGAGCCTGCCTGACAATGAAGCCAGAAGGGAACAAGTCCAGGGCAGCCATGCCTACTGCTTCCAGTTACACAGATTCCTCACCGACTCACCCCACTCCCCCTCCCTACACAGGCCAGCATCAATCCAGCTTCTGTCACCTACAACTGAAAAATTCCTGACTCTGAACGGCTGGGTATGTCTGGCTTGGCACAATCTGGCAATGGACAGAC